CTAAAAACTCTGATCTCTTCTCTTTTAAGAATAAAGATGTCCATTCCTTTGGTTGTGAAACTTGTCAACTTGCCAAACACACTCATGTTCATTATCCAAGTCATCCATATGGATTTTCTAAACCTTTTTCTTTAGTTCACAGTGATATTTGGGGACCTTCACTAGAAAAGAATATATATGAAACTAGGTGGTTCATAACCTTTATAGATGATCACACAGGAGCTTGTTGGGTTTACTTGTTAAAAGACAAGTCTAATGCTAAGATAGTTTTTCAGCAATTCCACAAAATGGTCCAAACTCAATTTCAAGCTCAAATCCAAATTTTTTGCAAAGACAATGGGAGGGAATATTTTAATTCAATACTTGGTGATTATCTCACAGTAAACGGGATTGTTCACCAAAGCTCTTGTGTTAATACCTCTCAACAAAATGGGGTTGCAGAAAATAAAAACCGTTATCTATTAGAAGAAGCTCATGCTATCATGTCTACCAATAATGTTCCTAAGTTTTTAAGGAGATGCTATTTTAACAGTCTCATACTTGATAAATAGACTTCCAAGTAGAGCTCTCAATTTCAAAACACCATGAACATGTTACTTGAGTCATATCCACAAACTAAGTTGTTTACTTCTTTAACCCCAAAAGTTTTTGGTTGCACAAGTTTTGTTCACAACAAAAGTCATCTCGTAGGAGATTAGAACCTAGAGCTATAAAATGTATATTTATTGGGTATTCTCAAAAAGGGTATAAGTGCAACTGTCCATCCACAAAACAAATATTTGTCTCATTAGATGTCACATTATTTGAAAATCAACCCTTTTACCCAAAACCAACTCTTCAAGGGGAGACAATAGGTGAAGATAGGCTTTGGGATTTTTTTGTTCCTCTTCCAGTAACATCAGCTATTCCTGCTATGTCACCAACAGAAATTAAATTGGAAACAGGGAATGATTCATCTATGCTTAGTCCTCAACAAAAAATAGAGCTCCATGTTTATTCACGACATAAACCATTACCTCAGGAAGTACAAACTTCAGTGACCCAACCGTATTGTCAAGAATCTAATCCACAAGTAAATCTTGAATCAGAAAATATTGGGTCTACAACACCATCACCATTGAACACTCTACCTAATGATCTAGACATACCTATTGCACTCAGGAAAAGGTGAAAGATAATGCACTCAATAGCCACTGTCAAATTATCTATTCTACAGCCATTTGTCAACAGCATTTCATACACTGGTAGAAAAGATTAAGGAAGCTAAAATCCCAAAAAATATTGAAGAAGCCCTAAAAATTCCAGAATGGAAAGTTGCAGTACTTGAATAGATGAAAGCACTGGAAATGAACAAGACTTGGGATGTTGTGGAGTTAACTAGAGGGAAAACACCAGTTGGATGTAAGTGGGGGTTTACTATTAAGTACAATTCAGATGGTGGAATAGAGAGACACAAGGCCGCCTACTTGCAAAGCTGATCTACTTGTCTTATGCAAGACCTGATATTACCTTTGCAGCTAGTGTAGTAAGTCAGTACATGCACTCTCCACTTAAGGAGCATCTTGAAGCTCTATATCAAATCTTAAGATACTTGAAGGCCACACCTGGTAAGGGTTTGTTGTTTGAGAAGAATGAACAGAGAAATGTGGAAGCATTTATAGATGCAGACTGGGCAGGATCAATCGAAGACAGAAGATCCACCTATGGGTATTGTAAGAAGGTTTGGGGTAATCTTGTCACATGGAAGAGCAAGAAACAGTTTGTTGCTGCTCAAAGTAGTGCAGAAGCAGTATTTAGAGCTCTTGCACAAGGAACTTGTGAACTTATCTGGCTGAAGAGACTTTTGGAAGAATTGAAAATGACAGCTGAATATCCTATGAAACTATATTGTGATAACAAGGCCGCTATAATTATTGCGGATAATCCAGTGCATCATGATCGAACAAAGCATGTGGAAGTTAATAGGCATTTTATCAAAGAAAAGATTGATATGGGAGTGACCTGTATGACCTATGTCTCTACAAAGCAACAAGTAGCAGATCCCCTAACAAAGGGACTACATAAACCAAGTTTTGAAACTCTTGTTGACAAGCTGAGAATGATAAATATTTATTCTCCAACTTGAGAGTGTTGACAGATTATGTATCAAATCAGGATCAATTTCCTGATTTGTTGAGACTTATATTTCTGGTCTATTATTTGTTTCTATATTTGGATGATTATGTCCTGATTGTGTGGGAGTCTTTGTACATATCAATTCCTCTATATATTTGAGGATTCTTTTTGAATAAATCACAGTCAGAGAACACTGTTTTTTTTTCTCTGATTACACATGTTTTTATGAATCTGTGAAAATGAATAATTCAAAGTAAAATTGGCAGAATTTTAAGATGCCAGCTACCATTGTCAAACATCATATAGGTTTACATCAAGAAAATTAGATTGCATTTGAAATTAACTGAAAGCTATATATATTTTTATTTCATTTTCAGAACCCCTAGCAACCTAATTGAACACCTTACCCTAAAGCACAAGACACTGCATGGCTAAAATAACTTCATTTTTACAATGTGCCAGAGGCATCAAGGTGTAATCAGGAAATTTAAGTGAATGTGAGACAGCAGGAATGATCGTGCAGACATTGCTGCCAGCAATAGCAGCAACAAAAAACGTTATTACTATTGCTGGACCACAGGTGACATTAAATAATGGTGGCAACAGAAGCAATTCTAGAAGTAGCAGCAGTAAAGGCGCAACAGCAGCTAGAGAAATACTGCATGTGTGCCATTTGCATGGAGCAAAAAGTCAATGGCAATGTTTAGGTGTCCATAAGAATGCTAGCTGCAGCCTCCAAAGCTGTTTACAAGGCATTATAATGCATTTCTAGTACCCCCAAAGCCTTAATTTGCCATATGTCTATTGATGATGAACTTAGTTGGGAGCATGAGCAGGCTTTAGAGTTGCTTTTGAGACTTAAATTTTGTTCGCAAAAGTTGATGATGTTTGTTCTTAGTTTATTTTTATGTTTTCTTGAGTTTTACTTGAAAGGGTTATTTTGGAATTTTTGTGTTACTGGAAACTGCAGATTCTAAGTCTAGAATCTCAGTTTCGTTCTTCCTTGTGTCATAGGGTTTTTATTTATATTTATTAATTAGTTTTCACTTACCACTTAAAAGCCTAAATATTTGTTAAAGCCCTTGTTGCACCATAAGTTCTAGTAGGGAAGACAGCAGGCCAATACATGACAGGAAATCCACTCCCCACCAATGGCCCACCTCTACCCCCAATCGCAGCCCAAATCTGCTAAGGGGAGAAAATTCTTTAGCTGATAACAAGGAGAAAGAAACAACAGATTGTGATGACAAAGACAACTCAGTTGATGATGGGACTTCTTTAGCTGATGATCTTGAAGATAATCATTATGTGGATATATTTCTCCCTTGTGCATTGTTAAATGCATTCTAGCAGCTCCTAAAATTGAAAAACAGACTGGTGGAGGACTACAATATTCAAAACTTTGATTTATTGAAGTGATCAAGCTAAAAGACTTATCATTTAGGATAGAAGTTGTATGAACTTTGTTTCAGCTTCCATGATGGACAGCCTTAAAGTTCCAACTTAACCTCAGCCTCAACCATGATAGGACTTCTCTTGCTGATGATCTTGAAGATAATTGTTATGTGGATATATTTCTCCCTTGTGCATTGTTAAATGCATTCTAGCAGCTCCTAAAATTGAAAAACAGACTAGTGGAAATCTACAATATTCAAAACTTTGATTTATTGTGGTGATCAAGCTAAAAGACTTATCATTTAGGATAGAAGTTGTATGAACTTTGTTTCAGCATCCATTATGGACAGCCTTAGAGTTCCAACTTAACCTCAGCCTCAACCACACAAGGTTGCTTGTATAAACAACACTTCCAGTTAAACAACAATGTCTTATTTCTTAGTTTTAGTGCTTATAATGATTCTATCCTATGATATTTTTTTTCTTTTAATATACTGGGGATGGGGAAGGGGTTACTCGGGCTTGAACCAAAGCCTACTGCCAGACAAACCATCTTGTTAGCCACTAGGCCAAGAAGTGCTTAGCATATACTATGATGTTATTCATCTGCAAGTGGCAGATATCCTCCTTGGTCGACCTTGGCCTTTATGATGAGATACGAACAATTAGGGGAGAGAAAATACATATACTTTATACATTGCAACAGGATGAGACCAATGAGTTAACCTATTTTCAAGAAATACGAGAAAAACAGAAATCCAAACCAGTAATTGTTATTGAGAATAAGATGATGCATATGAATGTTTATCTAAGAAGCAAATTTCAAGTAGAGAACAATGAATCCAAGGAATCCTTTCCTTTTATAGAAAGTAAGTACTAAATAATGTTGATGGTTCAACCTACAACATGCCTCCTAAAGTAGTTTAATTGCTATTCTACTTGTCTGATGTTGTGCCAAATGAGTTATCTAATGAGCGCCCTCCTTTGTGCAATATTTAACAAATCTTTGATTGAGGTCACAATTATTTAATCTTCCTGCTAGTCATATGATCCTAGCCACACAAAAAATGTAAGCACGACCAAGGAAGGAGAAATCTTTCATCTACAAGTTTTTAAAGTTGTTGACCAAGAGAAGCAATATATCAACCTGAAGAAGTTGCCTTTCATGACATCAAGATTTTTTTTCTTTTTTTTTGGTTTTGTTGTTTCTTCTAACGGCGTTGGAGTTGACACAGACAAAGTTAAAGTCAATCCAGGATTGCCAACCCCTACTACCTTGTATGAATTATGAAGGTCTCAATTCTCATTGGTTGACAACATTCTATAAAAAGTATAAATTTGCCCCAAAACCATAAAGAAAAGGGAAAAATACCAAATTCATATGTAAATTCCAAAAATATAAATAAGTTTAAATCTCAGAAAGTTGGCCCAAAAATGTATGAAAATACCAGATTCATATGTAAATATAAAGAAAAGGAGAAATTTCATACCAAAAATTTCCGGTAGATGAAATAACTTGCAATATGCCCCTAACATGCTCTTCGTCTTCTTCTTCTCCATCAATCTCAGGGTTGGAGTCCCTTCCTCTAAAATTACAACAAAATATGACCGGTCATCAAGTCGGTGGAAGAATTCGACAAAACAAAAAAATAAATAAATTTCAAAAACTCCTAAAAGCACCCGTGATTCAAGACATGCTCTTTGACATGGTCAGTGACAGTGGCAGAATTTTCGTTGATTGTCGACGCCTCCATTCCTGCTAACACTGTGTTTGAATTGATATCAGAGATTTTGAGGGGAAGTGCTAAACCCAGAAAATTCCAAGACTGCTCTGTTCAGCAAGCCAAATGACAGGAATTGAGAAAGTAGCATATTCCCCCGAGTTTCTTTCGGGGAATTACAAAAAGGAGCAGTTTATTAGGAATATTTATTACTTAGTATCATAATCATTTTTAAAATCCTCATTGTGATATAATTATCATAGTGATAAAATTATCAAAATTTTGATCACTATCAATCTTATATTATCATTTTTGGTACAATATTAAAAATCATTAGTGTTTTTAAATCATTATATTTGATATTATATAAAAATTAAATAATATAATACAAAATATTCATAATAACTTTGGAAAACAAAAATAAAATATTTAATATGTATTGAATCAATAATTAATAAAGTAGTTAAATATTATTTTATAAAAATTATCAAATATAAATCAATTTTGATAAAAATAATTTTTTAAAAATTTATTAAATAAATTTATTATCTTTTTTTTAATCAATATAAATTTATCACATACAACTTTTTTTCTAATTGATTAAAAAATTAATTTTTAAAAATTTTCAATAACTAGCTTCTTGAAATGTTAACTATATTTTTGGTGAAGATAAATTAATAAAAAAATAATATTAAAAATTATTTTTGCATGATAATAACATTTTTCTTATCTTTTAGGTTGGAAATCAAAATTACGTAAAAAACAGCGATCATATCACCTCAGTGATTTGCCATTACTATCATGTAAAATTTTTAAATTGTTATCAAATAAGGTGATATAATTATTACAGATTAATGAGGTTTTAAACAAATCATCTCATACCAAACACTTTTTAATACACAATTTATCTACTGTAAGTGAGATATCATGAAATATCATGATAAATTAAAAAATAATAAAAGTAAAAAATAAAAATGATAAAATAAGCTAACAGTTTAATTGAAAAAAATTTAAAAATAAATTTAATTATTATATTTATCTTAAAAAAATAATATATTTTTAAATTAAATATTTTCTACTCATTTTTATTTATTTTTATAAAACAACAACATTAAAATAAAAGTTTAAGCATAATTATGTTATATCTTATTTTAATAATAATATTTAATTATTTACTCATTATTAACAAATAACATTATACTACAACAACATTTAATACAATTTTTATTTTTTATCATAATAATTTTATTTATTTTTTAATATTTAATATCAAATATTTTACTTAATCTTTTTTTTAATCTTAAAAGAATGATCAAATCTCTATTTTATTGTGCTATGATATTTTTTATTTATTTTAGATCAAATGATGAATTATACTTTATTTCTCACATGTTTAGGTTACTTTTTTTATTTGATTTTTAGTTATTTTCCTTTTATGTATTTACAAACTATAGTTAATTAAAAATTTATGTTCTTGATTTAATTATTTATGTTACAATAACATTTTCATACGATTATTCTTATCTTCCATTACATTTACACTTGTCACTGCTCTTTCTTAATGTTTTACGACACTTCTTACTCATTATATGCTAAATAATACAAATTTTACATTGCTTATCACCTGTTTACGTTACCATTTTTAAAATTTTAGTTATTTTCTTTATATATTTACAAAAATTATAATTAATTAAAATTTTATGATGCCAACTTAATTATTTATGATATAATAATATCTTCTTACAGTTATTCTTACCTTTCACTACATCTAGAATTGTTATAGCTTTTTTATAGTGTTTTACAATACTTTTTACCCAATTTTATGTCAAATCATACTGATTTTACATTATTTCTCACAATTTACATAACATATTTTGTATTTTATTTTTAGTTATTTTCCTTTATATATTTAAAAAAACTATAATTAATTAAAATTTTATATTACTAACTTAATTATTTATATTATAATGATATTTTCTTTTTTTTTCCTTGCCTTCCATTACGTTTAGAATTGTCATAACTATTTTCCTAGTGTGTTATGACACTTTCTAATCATTTTACACCAAACATGAATTTTACGTTACTTCTCACTTGTCTATGTTACCTATATTTTATTTAATTTTTAGTTGTTTTCCTTTATATTTTTACAAAATAATAATTAATTAAAATTTTATGTTGCTAATTTACTTATTCATGTTACAACAATAATATTACAACAATAATATCTTTTTTCGATTGTTTTTACCTTCTATTACATTTAGAATTGTCATAGCTCTTTTCTTATTATGTTACGAAACATCTTACCTATTTTATGCCAAATGATACAAATTTTGCGTTGTTTCTCACCTATTTATCTTACTTATTTTTTATTTAATTTTTATCTATTTTCGTTTATATATTTATAAAAATAATAATTAATTAAATTTTTATGTTATTTATTTATGTTAAAATAATGTTTTTTTATGGCGTCTTACCTTCCATTGCATTTAGAATTGTCATAATTATTTCTTAGTATGTTACGACAGTTGTTACCATTTGATGCCTATCCCAACGTGCGAACTCGTAAGCCCAATCGTAGGAAGTAAAATTTTGTAAATAAAAAAATAAAAAGTAATCACTAATTTTTTTGTTATGTGTGATTGATCACCAAAAAATTTATCTTTTAAATAGAATAAAAAATGAATTTAAGATTTATCAAAAAAATATTTTGGTCTTTGAAAATAGAGTTATGCTCGAGAATTCATTATACGTGAAAAAGGATTAGCACCTCACAGTGTCCGTTTAAAAATAGTACCAATTAATCATGCATTATCTTCTTTGCATTAGATAAAAATGGCTTCAACTTGAAATTTGATAATAATTTCCTTCACTTTTTTTTGAAAAAAATCAATTTTATTTGATAAAAAGAAAACCTTATTTAGGAATATAATGAAAATCTTTTAGTTAAAGAGTTACCTTAAAATTCTCTAATATCTAGGTAGAATTTAAAGATAACTTTTGTCACCTAAAATCCATCACTCCATTCTTTTAAAATGAAAATAATATTCTTTGTAGATGATAGTTGCTAGTGACTCTCCAACATCTAAGTAAAGTACCAAGAATTATTTTCTCAAAATGTTATTTTAGTTTTATTTCAAAAACCATAATTTTTAATAATATTTTTCATGAAAAATATTTTATGCAAAAAATTGATAATGCTACAATTAACAAAATAAACAATAGTAATTAAAATATATATGCATGTGAAATGAATGCAAACAATAATCTAAAAATAAACATATACAAATGAATGCCATGCATGATGATGAGATAAAATTGGCATTATTCATTTTAAAATGGAATTCTTAAATTTAAATATTTCACCCAAACTCCCCAACCTTTATGTATAGTTTAGGTACAACTCTTTAAATCCAAAAATTTAATTTTGTTTTGCTTTGTTTTGTATCTTTTTTTTATTAAGGAATCTTATGAGAAACTTAATGAAATAAAATCTCCTAAGTACCCAATCCTCTATGTGGCATTCAAGAGCATATTATTTCATATGAGAATTTCATAAAAATCTCTTGAATTTTGGAATGATTTTTGGTGTTTGGATTGGGTTCAAGATTTTGGGATTTGACTTGTTTCAAGATTTAAATAATTTAAGGTTTTGGGTTTAACTTAGGGCTTAGGTCAGATTTAGGATTAAGGGCTAGGTTTAGGTTTTAGGGTTTGGTTTAAATTTGGAGCACAATTTAGGGTTTGGTTTAGGTTAGATTTAGGGTTTTGATTAAGGTTAGAGTTTTTGTGAGGTTTAGGGTTTAATTTAAGTGTAGGGTTTTGACTAGGGTTAGGGTTAGAGTTTAATATAAGGTTTAGGGTTTGACTTTAGGTTAAGGATTTGACTTTGAGTTTTAGGGTTTGACTTTAGGTTTTAAAGTTTGACTTTAGGTTTTAGGGTTTGACTTTAGGGTTTAGAAGATGACTTTGGGTTTTAAGATTTGATTTGTGGTTTGGATTAGGGTAGGTTTTTAGTTTAGGATTATGTTTGACCAAGGTTTAGGGTTTGGATTAAGATTAGGTTTTAAAGTCCGAATTAGGGTTAGGTTCTAGGATTTGGATTAGGGTTAAGTTCAGTCAAGGTTTAGGGTTTGGATTAGGGTTAAGATTTAACATTGATTTTTGGGTTAGGGTTTGACTTTGCGATTTAGGATTTGATTTTAGGATTTAAGGTTTAGGGTTTAAGGTCTAGTGTTAGGATACCCTATTTTCAGATACCATATTAAAGATTTTTAAAGTTCAGTATTATATTGAACATTTCGTTATAGCTCAAAAATCATTCATAATATTAACCCATTTTATAAAAAAAAAAACCCTTTACTGGCATACATATTTTAATAATTTTTTTGTCTTAATCATCAATAAACAAAAGACTTACTTTTACCGGTGTACATATATTGTTAATTAGTTGTACATATTTTCTAACTAAATGTACATATGATATATATCATTCATGTACATGTGAAAATTACATGTAATTATGATTTTCACCTTTTATGTATGAGATTATAAAAGTAATTGTGATTTCTTTTTTATAAATTTTGCATATTAACATTTCTTTTCTATTGACTAGTATCAAGTTATAAATATTCTTGTCTTTTTGTAATTTTCTCTTCTTTATTATTTATTATTCTTGAAACAAAATTACCATCGAATTTATTTTATTTATTTTTCTTTCCATGCTTTTTTTTCTTAAAATTTTGAAATCATGAATGCAATTCACTCAAATCTGCAATGATTTCAAATCTGCAATTTTGAGTGAATTGCATTCATGATTTCAAAATTTGGACCCCATATCATTTTTATCCTAAATCTAAAATATAATTTGTTGATATTTGAACTTCAAAAATCATAATAAATCCATTCTTTTATTCTATAATGAATCAATTTTTTTGTTGAAGTTTTTTATAGATTTGGTAGAGCTTGCACAAATCTAAAAACCTATTCAAGTTAACCCATGAATGAACTTAGATAGATTCAAATTGACCAAAAAATGTCAAAGATTGAAATCCAAAAAAATCCAATTTCAAAATCTAAAACTAGAAAAATCCAAGCTAAAAAAAATCCAAAATGACACAACTTGAACTCGTCATGACTCAAATCTGCAATGATTTGAACCTCATATCGATTCAATCTGAAACTTGTAAAAAATCGAATTATAACCCAAAAAATTTTAAC